TAACGTGCTACTGTTTTTCCCCTGTATCTTTCAAATGTAAACAACTGAAAGGCTAAACATATAAAATACTGAATTCACCGTCAAAACTGAGTGAAACAACTGTATCGTCATCAATAGAACGTTCAGTGGCGGCTCGTGGGTGCTGATAGTGGGGGTACGACTTTAAAATATAAAATACCACTAATCATAGGTTTAACAAATTATCAAATTAAATATAATAAAATGAAACACAATACACATATTATTATTTTATTATTATTTTAAAGCTTACTATTTTATTCATATAATTATCATAGTATATTATTATTATATTATTATTATAACATTATATGATTTAGTACATAATTTTAAAATAATTATTTTATGGAGTTATTTAGCGCTGTTAATTTTAAAAATAAATTACCCAATATATATATAGTAATATATTACTGTATGGACGACGCTATCGGTCGTCCAAACCCGTATAATAACATCGTACAATAAACGTAACCGCACGCACACGATTGCGCGCTTCGCTTGTAACATACGTATTCGGAATATTGGCAATATTGCTTGGACGACTCTGCCGGTCGTCCAATACCAGTACAAAAGAGCGCAGCTTAAATGTACCCGCACGCACATCGTTCAGCGCCTCGCTTATACATACGAACCATACGCCACGACGGACGACGACGCTGCAGGTCGTCCAAATACGATGCGTATCCATATTATGCGATACGCTTCTGGTATCAGAGAAAAACAAAATAATGTAATGTTCGCACACGACAAATGTATTATACCTTTATAAGTTATAACTATAATAATAAATAATAAATATTTTTTAAAAATCAGAATTAAGATTATACAATAAATTTTCTTATTTTTACTAATTTTAGTAGGAGGTGCGATCGTCCCGTCGTCCAAGCCACGAGCCGCCACTGAGAACGTTCTCAGGCTATAATATAAACTGCATATCACATATGTACATTTGAATCGTGCAGACAGTTAGCAATAACTGTAATCGGTTTAATCGAATACTATTGTGTGATTTAATGTCCGTGTAAAGTATATTGTAATATAATATATTTTGACATCATCAATCGAGCAATATAAAATCAAACGCGTGAGATCAAAAATCATTTTTAACATTCGAAAAATATTATATGAGTAGTAATGTCATATCAAAACGAAAACAGCGATTAATAACGATCGAATCAAATGAAAAAAAAATGCAAAAAATCCCGTACGCGTGGTTTCTTATGGGGCCGCCCGGAATACGCCGGAACGGGGTTCGAACCTGCCTACCTAACGTCGGGGAACCTATCCTAACACCTATCGACTACGGTTTGAGTTGGTGACCACTACGGAATCTCGAGCACTTAAACCGTTTTAGAGATGCGACGAATACCACAGTATACGTCGTTTAAGCGATACGATTTTTACGATTCGAGTGTAGAAACCGTAAATCGCACGTTTATCGTCGTTCAGAGCGTTTCCGACGTATTCATTACATTATTTAATCGCGTACGTCTCAACGACGTACCGAGTTTATTATCACATACACACATCTCGATATCGCCCCAAACGTACGCGATCAAAGGCATTACAACGACCGAAGAGCAACGATTTCGCGATGTTTTTGTATAATACGCATAAGGATGTGGTCATGTCTGACGTACGTCACGGACGGCGCGCACGTTTCTTTTTTATACACGTGATCGTATTTTATACGCTATCGAGACGATGAGGTCGCGGCAACGCCGAAAACAAAAAAACGCGTATTGGATAGGGATAAAGGATTTATCGTATCGTAAAAAAAAAAAATAGTACACACGTGACGACACGATAAACGACCGGAGAACGCGTTTTCCGGACGCGACGGCGACGGCCGCGAACGGAATTCGGGGACGCGCGATCGGAAAACGCGCGGGGACGGGACGAAAAAAACCGCTCTCGGCCGTAGCGTCGAGAACGCGACGGAAAAAGGTCGCCAAGGAACGGAAAATCGGGCGAAAAGCGGAAAAAACCGTATGAGAAAAACAAACAAAAACGACGGCGGCGGGAGATAACGATAACGATAACGGGCGCGCGCGAGATATCAGATAAGAAAGACGATAGGAAAAAATCGAATTTTCCGATTGGCCAGTACACTAAACCAGAGCACTCTGGCGAAAAAACCCAGGAAGCTCGTTTTGGTTTTATATTATAAGATTGTATCAGATGGATTCGGTACTAGGGTTGGCGTAATCTGTAGTCCGCCGTTCCAATTTCTCGTTTCTTGTTACCAACTTCAGACAAATGATTAGTAACTGGTAAGCATTATTTACATCTTATTTAGCAATTGAAGCAATAATAATTATTAATTCTGTTATTGTTGTTTAGATTCCACCGGGAAATATATTTTTCGTTTCTTTGTCATTGGATTTTTTAAGTAATATTTCTATTATTTCAAATTTGGATCATTTGCTTGGTACGTTTCATTTGTGTTATTGTTATTATTCTGTTTTCTTTGTACAATTTTTGCGTATTAATTTTGCATACTGTGTCGGTTGAATGTGTCTATTTCATACGTCACTCCCAAAAATATTAATTGTCATACATGGTTAAGCTTTTACTATTATGATATATTTTTCTATTAAACAGCACCCTAAACGAGTCTAATCTTATAACGTTCACGAGCAGACGATCTACCTGTCAACTGCCGCAATGTCAGATTCAGTTGGTTGGTGCTTAATTGAAAGCGATCCTGGCGTGTTTACAGAACTTATTCGTGAACTTGGTAAGAGATCCTTTAGAACTTTAGATTAATTGTCTTGATTAGTGTTGGACATCTAATGCGGATAGTTTCATGCTCATATTAAAATAAATGTGAACGTCTGTTTAACTTGAATTTTAATTACCAATCAAGGTTATGAGATAAATTCAAATACTTATTATTCAATCATAATTTAACTATAACCAAGTGACGAGAATCTTCGGTGGATGTTAACAATTAACTTATTAATGCAGTAAACAAATATGTTAGTTTATTACCTACGTACCTAAGTAGATATACACATTTTATTTGTTTATGAACATGATTTTTAATCTATTGATTCAACTTTATCATTTGAACTTATTACTCTGATTTACGAATTCAATCCTTCAATCCTAACAAAATATTTTAGTTCGTAGTATGATGAAAGCTAATGTCCAGTACTAGTCTCAATACCTTGTGTTATCAGTTGATTTATTTTTCATAACGGTAACTCATTCACACCCTAATGGCGTGTCTTCTGTTTCAGGGGTGACCGGTGCTCAAGTTGAAGAGTTATGGACACTGGATAGCAGCTTGTTTGAAGCAATTAAGTGAGCCTATTGGTTTTTAAAATCTAGTAAAATGATGTATATATCATGTTCTATTATTGTTCTTATCATTATTTAGGCCTGTTCATGGTTTAATATTTCTCTTCAAGTGGATAGGAGAAGACCAACCTGATGGACAAATTGTCAAAGATTCAAGAATTGAAAAGATATTTTTTGCTAAACAGGTTAGTGGAACATTAACATTTTTACAGTCTGGGTCTGCTTTTATACATTTGTTTTATATTTCCAATGCAGTTAATGTCAGTTACTCGAGATTGGAAGTGATAGTTAAAATACCTTTTATATTTTAAACTTTTTAAATCACATAATTTTCAAAATAAATCAATTTGGTTTTAAGATCAATGCTAAATAAATTATTTGCTATTATATTTGTATACTATCAATATAATATTAGATTTATTTTATTTTTAGGTTATTAATAATGCTTGTGCTACACAGGCTATATTAAGTGTATTATTCAACTGTCGTCATCCAGATATCGACCTTGGCACTACTTTGAATGAATTCAAAGATTTTTCTCAAAAGTTTGATGCTAATATGAAAGGTTTGGCCTTAAGTAATTCACAGAAAATTCGTTCTGTGCATAATTCTTTTGGAAGGTAATATAAAAAAAAAGGCTTACTTTAAATTAAAATATTTATAAATATTTTGTGTATTAGAAGCAATTCTATTTTTGAATTTGATGATACTGCTAAGCCAAAATCTAAAGATGATGAGGCTTATCATTTTGTTGCTATTGTGCCTATTGATGGTCGACTTTATGAGCTAGATGGATTGAAAGAAGGTCCAATTGATTTAGGATTAATAAAACCTAATACAGATTGGGTTGAAGCTGCAAAACCATTTATTGAAAAAAGAATAAATAAGTAAGAATGTTTTTAATCTCTAAAATCCATCCATACTTTTTTTTAATATTTATTTTTATTTTAGGTATAAGGAAGGAGAAGTTCATTTTAATTTAATGGCAGTAGTATCCGATAGGAAATTAATTTTGGAACAGCGACTATTGAGTCTAAAAACAGAAGAATTGGTATGATTAAAAATATATTAATCTAATCAATTAGCATTAATGTGTGTTTTTAAAATTAAATTAGGATGAAGCAACCAAAATTTCTGAAGAAAGTAACATCCGGATGAAAATTGCTGATGAAGAAGATAAAATGAAGCGATACAAAATTGAAAATGCTCGACGCAAACATAATTATTTACCATTAATTGTAGAAATATTGAAACTTTTAGCTAAAGATGGAAAGTTGGTACCTTTGTATGAAAGAGCTAAAGCAAAAACTTTGGAAAAGGAAAAACAAAAAATCGGTAAAGCTTAGTCAAAAATTATGTGTTATGGTCTCATAAAAACCTTACTAGATAAAAACAAAAAAATCTTAAGTGTATTTTTGTGATTAAGACTAATTGATATTTAAAAGTGATACACATATTTGTGACTTTTTTTTAATGTATATATTCTAAATATCATAATTATGTACCCACTTGTTCTAATGTAAATTATATGTCACTTAACATTGCCAAAAATTTAAATCATCAGCACTTTTAAAAAAAATTTAACTTGTAAAATAGTTTTTTTTTTTTGTCAACTTTAATATATTTTTTATGAAACCTCTATCATTATTAAAATATTACAAAAAAAATATTATTGTTTATTTTTTAAATTTTTTAGTATTATTTCTATTATTTTGCTTCATAGTTCTTTTCTTTCCATCAATTTCATTTCTTGCTTGATCCTGAAGTCTTGAAAAGAAATCTTTAGATGATTTCATACTTTTATCATCCACAGATTTTAACTGAAATCAATCATTGATGTATAAGTAACTTTTAATAAGTATTATATGGCTATACTTACTTCTTTAACTTGATGCCCACTACTGGTTAATCGTTTCAGTTCTTTTTGAGCACTATCTTTATTATGCTTAGGTTTAAACCCATTTTTTTCCATTTCCTTGAGATTAGATTCTTTTATGATGCGCTTCTTATGCTGCAAGTGCTTTTTCTTTCGACGTTCACGTTTTTTATCTGTACTAGTACGTTCTTCCTTGCCAAGAACTGGTGCTTTGAATTTTCCTAAAAATTTTTTTAAAAACAGAAATATTAACATAAAAATATCAAGTAACTAACTGTATTTTGTTTCTTTTATGAATTAAATAAAAAAAATACACTAACTTTGTATTTCTTCTGGTGCTAACAATGAGGCATCAGTTGTAGCAACTGGAGCTACTTCTTCCATTGATATAGCTGGTAAATTATTGACAATTTTCAAATCAGGAATAGCCTGATTAATAATTCATATGTAATTCAATTGTATATATTTAGTAGAAATGTATAAATAATAAATTTATTCATTGTATATAGTAGTTATAATATGATAAGAGAAAAATAACAAAATAATCTTATAATATTTCAACCATAACCATGAATAATTGAACATCAATTTTGTAATGGTTTCAAATTGTTATGAAATTTAATAAATAAACATTTTTTTTTACCTGTTTAGGAGTATAATGATAGTTTGTGAGTGCATCTAATTTTCTAAATAATTCTTTAATCATTAAATCAATTTCTTTATGCTCTTTTGGAACTTCTTCAAGTTTATTTTTATTTTCTGGATCAGCTGCTTCTCTTTGTTTGATGAATTCCTACAATTATTTATACTTATTTAAATAAATAAATACTAAATAATATAAAACTGTACTTTTTCATAAATTTGGGATAAGCTTTCTTTGCTCTTTTCTTGATTTAAAACTAATTGTTTTTTAAATTCATGAGGTGTATTTGTTTGTTTTATTTTTCGCTCTACATCATCCCACGCTTTGTCCTTTATTCTTTGTAGAATGATGTCCTCCAATTTTACTGTCGTTTCTTCAGTAATAATTGGTGCTAAATATTGAATTAACACATTATTTATAATAAATTCTTCAAAAACTAATCAATTTTATTTTATTATTAATTATATTTTACCTGGACGAGTACAAACATCAAATTCAACAGCCTCTTCTAATAAAGAATTTTGAGGACGGTCTTTAGCTGCAACTTCACCCTTCAAAGCCCAAGGTTTATTATCAGAAATGGCTTCTTCTTCCAATTTTGCTATTCGTTTGTTAATTCGCTCTGATCTCATTTCTAGTGTTGATAATTGTTTGTTATTATTGTCATTAGGTTCATTAGTGTCTTCTTCATTATCTTCACTTTTTTCTTCATCCATTTCAAATCTTACACTTTTTTTTGATTTGGTTTTTTTTTTAGATTCATTTTTTTGTTTTTCAAAATATTCATCATACATAGGACCAAAATTATCTTCGTCCTGTTAATTCAATAAATACATATTACTTCCAAAACATTTTTTAAAGATTATGATAAATATAAATAAAAATATAAAATTACAAATATTGCTTAATTAAATAATTTTAAATTAAATATGTTGGCATTTTGAAAGTAAAATAAACATAATATTAATTCATTACTTCATTTTCAGATTGTAGGTCTTGAAACATGTCAACATCATCTTCTAGGGATTTTGGTTTATCTTTGGAAGTCTCCAATTTTTCCTCTGATAATAAAAATTTTTCCATTTCTGATAATTTGAAAAATTCATCGTCGACTACTGACTTTTTAAATGCTAATAATTATAAGAATAAATATAGAATTAAAAATTTATCTTTATATAATAGAATAAAACAAGTTTAAGTATTAATTCTAATTTCTGTAAGTTATTGAAATTTGTTTTTTAGATTTAATTTAACTATACAAATTATGTCGAGTTGCCAAAATCATATCGTAATAATGTATAATTTAAGATTAAACTATTAAGTTAACACTGATTTGTAGGATGCTAAATTTTTCATAGGTATATAAGTTTAAGGAATATGAATTTTATAGTTTATAAAAGTTTCTAATAATGATATAATAATGAAAACAATTTAAGGTTTATTTAACTAATGAAAAATAGTCAATTATGTAATAAATCAAAAGTTCAACATAACTAAAAATGATATTTTTAGTTTATAGTATTTGTCTAAAACAATTAGTTGAATAATTTATTTTAATATTTGTATCATATTATTAAACATAAATAATGTAATTATGTACTTGTTATTATATTTACTTTGTTTATTAGTTGAAGGTTCTGCCTCTTCTAAGTCAAAAATATTATCTTCATCTTCACTTTCTATATCAACTTCATCGCCATTATCTTCATCATCGTTATTATCTTCATCATCTTCATCATCCCCATTGTCTTCATCATCATTATCATCAATCTCCAAACCTTCAAAGTATTAAATAAAATACATTATTATAAAACAAGGGTGAAAAATATCATACCAAAAATTAAAAAAATAAAAAATAAATTTTAAATATGTAACTAAGAAATATACAAGTACTATACCCCCAAACCAATGTTCATCCTTTTAATCGCAGTCAACTCTCAATCTAACTTCTACAAATACATAATTAAATAAACTTCAACTTAATGAATCTCTTGAATTAAATCTTGTAAAAATTTCCTTAGTTAATCAAATCGCCAAATCCAACTTTTATTGGCATATGTGGTAATGAAGTGGCTGACAGACTAGCCAAATCTACCTCTAATACAATCTTTCCTTCTTTTGCTCAATTACCTTGAACTGATTTTACCCCTATATTATGTTGTCACATAGTCAACCTCTGGTCTAACTATGGAAAAACTTTACATCCAAATATAAAAAGATTGTTTCTATCACTACCAATATAAAAATTTGGTTCAACAACTTAGATCTACTAAGATCTTCTATTGTTCACTTCAACCATCTCTATGTGGGTCATTTGCTACTACCCAATCACACCTATAAACTTAGTTTAAATGAATCCTCTTTCTACACACTACATAACTGAAAACGTCTGTGACTTCTCACATTTAATCTTAGATAGTCTATCATTACATCCCAAAAATAATTTATTTTTGTTCAACAACCTGAAATTTCTTACCTAACCCCCTAATCAGCTCTCTAGGCTCAGTATTAAATTTGAAATGGCCATTAATAAAATAATTAATTTAGTATTGGAAGCTGGTTTTGTCACTTAATATTATGAATATAATTAATTGTATATTATTTGTATATATGTATTACTGTTATAATTTTATATTATTAAGAATTGTTATTCCTTTTGTTTTGATCAAGTCCTTATTATCTAAATAGTTGTCGAACTATCATAATCATTAATCACTGATTAAAAGCTAATAAATAATTAGACAAAAAAAATATACTGGTAAATAATAAATACTTACTGTTTATTTTAGTTTTATCATTAATTGATTTTGTAACTTTTAGATTTTTTTTTGTTTGTGCACCTGCAATAAAAATATAATATATTAAACACAAAAATAATAAAATTATACATATGAAAATAGTTGAATTGTCATGACTTTGGAAATACAAAATTTGCTATTATGTTGTGATTATATTATTATTTTTAAAACAATTAAAACGATCGCCTTAAAAGTAATAATATATCAATATATTTTGTATACATATATTTTTATTTATTTATTTTAAATAATAAATAAATAATAACTCACATTAACTTAATCAAGTATAAAATAAATTTGAACCTAGACATTTTGTACATCTTCTTTACCTTAAAAATTAAAGTTGATTAGAATATATGAAAAAATATTTGCTTACTTTTAGATTCATCAAGGTAAATTAAATCATTTTTTGTGAACCCTTGAATAGTATTGGCCAATAGTTTCAATCGAGCTGAGTTTTGTAATTCCAGTTCTTGCCATATTTGTTCTTCATCAAAATCTTTGACTATTAACTCAGGCAGAGTGTCATCATTGGAATTGTTAGTTATTGTTTCAATACTCTTAGTAGTATCATACAATTGTTTCAACAAATTAGTCGTCTCTTCAGCAACATTGGTTTGCACACTATAACAAAATATATAACATACTTTTAATAGTAATAAAACAGTTTTATAAATTTAAAATATAAAATCATTAATTAATCAAACTTACTCTAGATAGTCTAATGGATTCACAGTTAACTTTTGGAACGTTGCAATAAAATCTACATTTGCCATTTTGAGAGGATAATTCTATGTATCGGTCAATTAAAATATAAACACAGTAGTAATAATTAAAATTTAAAATAACTAATAATTAACACAGCATTGAACTCAAATGCTCAACCACGTGATGGTGATTTTAATAACATTGATAATAGTCATCACTTATCAGTTATCACGATAACATATCACTGTATTATCTATAAATTATTATTTTTTATTATAGTTAGCCGGACAAACACTGTTTGCTTATAAGTCATAATGATAATGATGATAGTTGTGTGGCGTTGCTTGTAAAAAGAATCTCGAAATAAATTTTAACCAACTTTCAAGCTTATTTTGTTTAACTTATTATTATTTATTGAATGAAAAAAAAAATGTATTGCCCATGCTAATTGCTATCTAATTTTTATTTTTTATATTTGTGTATTATTATTTTTCATTGTTTATAATAATTGTAAATTGAGTAATTTTTTTTAATTTCATCCGTGCTCATAGTGTGGAATAGTTTAATAATATTTATTATTTGATAATAGTGCGTTTGTATTTATTGATTTGAACATTAAAATTTTATTTGTGGAAACATTTCTTTATAGACCGTGTTATTTGTTCTTCCGTCTAGTTTAAGAATGACCATTTGAAGTATAAACTACTAAGTAACTCACTCTGAAGCACGCTACATAAAATTGTCTATTAGGAACAAACCACTAGATAAAGATCTAATGATTTAGGAATATGATAAAATAAAATTTACTCTAACCCCTCTTCTATGTGAATAAAATAAGGATTAACGTGTTTTTACGATGTGTCTTTGGAATTTTTAAAGTATACATTTGATTTTTATTTATAAAGGTTACCTATGAAAATACTTGAGTATCAATGTCTTGATTTTATTCTAATTTACCCCTCTAATTATACCTTATATTTTATATTTTTTTTATAGATATTAATTAATGATTTTATGTTCCCGTTTTGTGATGAAACTACACTATTTAACATTTTTCCAATTTTTTTGTACCAAATAATTCTATTTTATTTATCATTACAGTAATTTTGAGAAAGCACAAAATATACACGGCCGAAGCCGGCTAATTCAGCTATATTTTATATATATAGAAGATTATCATAGCTTAGCTTGCTTTTTAATGAAGAGCTCAGAGCTGGCCTTACTCAATAGTCAATACTCGTAGACCTTATAGTATAAGGCCTTACCATGTTTTTTGGTAACTTAGATGGCGCTCAATCGTAACTTGTTCATAAAACCAGTAGACAGTAAGAACTTTTTGTTATATTATTCCAATTACTGAATTACCTATGGACTTCGATTTCTAATTTGAATCACGGCTTTAGATTGATATTATGTCCGTGAGCTGGACATTACCTATTTCGGCTGAGGTCCGTGCTTTCACTGATGATCGATATCTCGTTGCACCAATGAATATAGATTTTTTATTAATTTACACTTGATAAGTGATAAGAATTAATGACTATTGACTGAGATAGTGCTAAATGGTATAGCAGGTATGACGATTTGTAATGTAGTCTGTACAAGATATATTTTCTTTGGTCTTATTAAAGTCATCAGTCATCACTACAGTGACAATAGTTAAATAACGGTTCGTTATTTTGTTGATGATTGTTCGTAAGTCTAAACATCATTATACTGTACTACTGTAGTTATTTATTTATTTTTTCATCATAAATTTATTACTGAAGAATGAAAGTAATGAAAATCGTTACGTAAGTAGTACTCTCCGTGCCTAATTCAAAGTTCAATATTATCTCGTCTTTGCCGGAATAAAGTACATCAACGTTGCTCGTAATATTGTGACTATCGATCAAAGTTCGTGAAAATTCTTTAAAAGTAATTGTATTTTACATTATTGTCGGATAAGAGGTTTTTTAGTTTTCTCATTTATAGAACTCGAGATGGATGACGATGGTAAACAAAAATCCAAACAGTATCTGACAACAATGTTGGATCATGCTGAAATTCATATCGAAAACATACGAAAAGAAGCATTGAAGATGGCAGAAGATCTCGAAAACGTTTATAACAGTGTAGAAAATGTGAAGAATTCCAACCTGCTGGACCATCTGAGTGACGGTAATCATATGAATCCCGAGTACATTGTTCAATCAATTTTACCATTTTATTTAATGGTTTTTAGTTGATAAAGAAGACATTAATCAGTTTGCTAATCGTATCATAGACAGATGTGAAACTGTTAATATTAATGTGCTCACCACCAGGAGTGATAGTCAACAAAATTGTTTGGAAGAAATAAACTCAATGATTGACAGAATAGTGAATACATTGAAAGATGACCCAGATAATGCCAAGGCTATGTGTCAGGCGTACATAGCTTCATGTAGTCCATTAGAAAATGAGGTTGGCTGTAAGGTTTTTGAAACGGCCGTCTTGGGGTGTACCCTTGATGATCAGAAACGCATTATTAAGCGACTACAAGGGCTGTTAAATTACATTATAGGATCAAAAGACAAATAACTTAACAAGTTTGTCTGTCGTCTATAATAATTCCATTTGTTTTAACTATTATTCATTGTTTTTTTCTAATATAATCTTAATGTTAATTGATTTTCCTGACAAACATAGTGATATCAATTGTTTATCAATATTGTTATTTTGTTTCATATTTTATTAATTACACATCAAACATTTTTATATTAAAAAAGTTATTTAAACTATTATGGTATGACACAAGAGTTCTTAAAGATATTTTTTTTCTTTTGTCTTATTTTTCCAGATCTCAATTTAATTGTGGTTGAAGAATTTCTGTTGTGGTATGGAACTGTACCAAATGAGCCTTGAAATTAAAAATAAATCATAAATTCAAATTAGTTAATTTGTAATAATTATATTAAACACATAAAAAAAATATTATGCAGAGTTCATGTTTAATAATTAAAATTAGTTTATAGTCACTTGTATCTTCCAGATAATAACACATAATATACAAGTAAAAATAAAAATGTTATACTAAAGCATACACTAATTATTTAATATAAATAAATACTGTAGTTAAATGTAATGATAGTTATAAAATAAATAATATTTGTTGATGTTATTATTTTTTTTTTTAAATATGAAACTTTATTGACAAAACATTAGGGAGATTTATAACTATTTATTTCAGTAACAGTAAATGTTACATCGTTGTTTGAAAAGGTGAAAACAGATAATTTACCAATTGTGTATGTTTGGTGTAATCCATTTTCTGACATATATTCCTGTTCTTCTTTTTGTATTTCCATCAAACATCGTGTAGCCAAGTACCTAAATACATTATTGACATTGACGTCATCTTTTACTGATGTGCATATTAGCTTGCAACCTAGCGATCGGGCAAGAATATCAACTTCTTGTCTGTAAAATATTTAAATTGTAATTTAATGTTACAATAAATGTGATGTAATCTACACTCTGCAGTGTATTCATTTTAATTATATTGCAAAAATTTTTTGATTCACCATATTTAGTTAGGTAACATCTTTCAAGTATACATTATATACCGGGGGTTAAACCAATAATAATACTAATATAATAAATTTAATATTGTGCAAGGTTTAAACATTTAAAACTATTTTACACAGTAAAGTATTGTGAATCTTAATTAATTATTGGCAAGTAACTAAAATTTAAATAAATAACATTACTAACGGATCAACTTGGCTGCGTTCTATCAAATCTATCTTATTTTGAACAATAACTGTTGGTATTTTTCCACATTCATCTTCCACCTGTAGCAAATGTAATTGATAAATTTAAATTATAAGTTTTAGTTGATTTATTATAAAGTCTTCATAGACCTTAAATCTTAATCACTAATTAATTAATAATAATTTTGCAATATGTTTAAGCTGTGTAACTTACGTAATTTCTGTAGTACTCGTAATTGAGCTTATCGAAGAGAAGAATCAAGATAAATAATTACTACCAAGACCAACACCCTTTAAAAATGATAAAAAATTAGTAAATTATGAATTAAAAACATGCATAATGTACACTCCTATAGTATGATATTAACATGACTATATCTTTTATTTTATAATTATTTATTACTTATTGCATTTTTACAATTATTTTAACTAAAATTTATAATATATATTATAATACACAGTTAAATGATCATAGTTATTAACTGACATTAAAGAAATATTTAATAAGTTAATATTATGATTAAATTTTTTTTATTTTTATTGTTTATTTTATTAATATATACAAAACATAAACATCTAAAGTGGTTGGGTTAATGTGAATAACCGATGAAAATGATTTAAGAAATGTACTAATAGGAAAAGTAAATGAAAAAATCTACTTGGAAGACTTAGAACAAGATGGAAAAATAGTAGAAAATGATATAAGATTTGGACTGGTTGATGGGAGTGTATCGTTAGATTGAATCATGGCATGGACAGAAAAAAATGGAGAGGTTTGCTATTGGCAGGGCAGATCATGAATAGACCATTGCGCTGGTAAAGAAGAAGATATTTTTATTTATTTTATAACTTAAATTTCATATTTATAAGCAGATTAACTTTATGATAAATCATAAATGTAGTAAAATTATATTTTAAAAGTATTGAATAAACGAACAAATATTATTAAAGTACAAAGAAAATTGTACTAAACAATAAAATATTGTTTTAGAAATTAGAATATTTCTAATTAATTATATAATAAGCAATGTTGTCCAAAGAAAAATGATAGGTTCCACAGATTTACATTCATAACACTTGTTTTATAATTCAAGCTTAACTGAAGCAGGTTTATTTTCATAGTGAAACAGAGATTGATATTTTAAAAATAAAATTAGAAAGATTTGAATTAGAGGTTTAAGATGAATTCATGGGGAGGGGGAAGCTAGCCTTATACAATTTGTGTTTATGGTCAATGTTTAATAACTAAAAGCTAGTATAAATATTAATCAAACCACCGATAAAACTTATTTAATTATTATGAAACCTTTATTTTCCATGAGTGAATTGCTTCAAACGAATCTCTGTCTGTTGTAGAAAATGCCAACACACAAGCTTGGGCTCCTCTGTAATACGCCTTAGTAATGGCATCAAATTCTTCTTGGCCTGCTGTGTCCCATAACATTAATCTTACGTCTTCCCCATTACATCTAAAATAAAATATATATAGTTATAGTTAAAGAAAATTAAAAATATTTAATTATTCATTTGGTAAAACCTAATTAAATAATGATTCATATTCAATAATTTAATAATAATATATAATCTATGAACCAGTAAAAACTCAACAAGATATCAAGATATATAGGACAACATTAATATATACTGTAAATATTGAACTATTATTTATTTACTTTTATTTGAGTATTATACATTTAAGGATTAAGTTTGTTCACACCAAAAATTACTAATTAAGATGAGTTAAAGTTAAAAAAAAAAGAATTAGTTCAAAATAAAATTGATGTAATATTTACTATAATTTAACAGACTTATTATTTTGTAAAAATAATAACTATAAAAATTACAAATTATTGACAAATTTAAAATTTCACTTTTTAATTTAATGCGAGTTAGATAAAGAGATAATATAATGTATTACTACATTAGGCAATTTTACATGTATGTTTTGCTGAATTTCAATCATATCATATCAGCAGAGTATTTAAGTATGTTTATTTTTAGTTTAATAGTAGTAACTTATGAATTATAATAGGTCCTTTATGAGGTATCATGATTATGTGTAAGTTAGAAGTAAGTTTTGTAGTATAATTAAGATTATATTTAAGTAGCATACTCTATTTGTCTTTCCAAAAAGTCAACTCCAATTGTTTTTTTATAATCTCGGGTAAATGTTCCTCTGCAGTAACGCTGAATCATACTCGATTTTCCGACTGCGCCATTTCCCACAATCACCACCTTAAAGATGAAAACATAATTTTAGTTATTTTAGATATTAATAGTTATAATTTATAACTTATAAGGTATAAAATTATATAGCTTATGAGTAATGATTAATATATACCTTTAATGCTATTTCTAAATCTTCTTCCCTCATCACTCATAGTTGTGTTTGTCCACTGATTAATTTTCTGAAACCAAAATCAATACAAACGTTAAGACAAGTACCTATGTCTTTGTTTTACAAATACTTAGAAATATTATGATAGAATAGAATAACATATTTCCCTGGCAAGTGTTTTATTTTAGGTTGACTATGAATGTAGTTTTTTTTAAATTCTATAATCTAATATATAAGTAATAATATACATTCATTGATTTATAAATTACATCAATCAATATTTCATTTTGGAAACTTTACATAGGTATTTATTTTATATATGCATCTCGTAAATAGTAATTTCGAAGTATTATCAAAACTATCATCTACCCATATAGCTCATATTATAGTCAGTAATTATTATCGTGTAAAAATATAAAATAACTTGGTGCATGGGAACTGGGAGATCTATTTATTCTGTAACTTATTTCATTTTATCAATTATTTTACAAACTAAAAGAAGTACTAAGTAATTGAAGACATAAAATATAAAAATTCTATTTAAATAACAATATTATTATAAAATACATTCAGGATTTCGTAAATTTTTGTAAACATGTAAATTGCATTGGTAACTCCGATTCTAACCATGTTATTTTTACTTGACAACTGTTTTTTCAAGAATTAACTAAACACGCAAATTCCAACACAATGCCGTGTAAAATTTAAATTATTCTATAATAACTGTAATTACTTATTATGCTACAATGACGTTGTATCGGATAAAATAAAGAGTAGGAAACCAAGTCCCAAATGTATTTACATACTTGTATAGAGTCGAGAGTACATGTTATTTTAAGTAATTCAATTTTTCAAATATACGTGTTTTTCCATTGATTTAATACGTACATGACCTAGCAGTATACTAAGTTGGCGAAGTTCGAATAATCACGATAATCTATTTTAATTTTGTAATCAATAAATGTATAATATTATAGATAGATTACAAAGTAAACACAATTAAAATAAAAGGTAACGTTCTAACTTATGCGTTAATTTTTTTGCAAACGTTTTCACATAATTCAATAAACACTTAAAATATAATAATTTTGCAGAGGCAGGTTAAAATAATATTTTTAAAGTATTTAAAAATTTGACAACAAATTGATTGAAGCACAAAATTAGCATTCATCTTCAAGTACACATTGTACCATCGTTCACTGACCATTAAGCTTACTAATAAGACGATAAAACTATGAATTATAATGGTAGGAACTAGGAAATGTAAAAAATCCACCGTTGTGCATAATATTATAACAACGGCGATGATAATGATAATGATGATGAAAAGCCTTATTCTAACACTGCTCTTTTTTATCATCAACGCTAAACTGCAAGTCGTTGACCCCCGATTTTCTCATGCCTCATGTATTATGCGTACACAAGTGTAATAATAATATGCTATAGGTACCTTAGCAAGTGTCTATATACGACGGAGAAAACAACAATTTATGAAAAAAATCATTACTAGTACTTTAGTAGGTATGTTTATTATTATTCCTGCACTCGTTTTATACGTGAAATACATGCGTTGTTCGGCTTATTGTTTCGGTTTGAGTCTGAGTTCCGTATATACCGATATATACATAATACACTCGGTACTCATGCACGCAGTTATACGTCAGTTAACACGCTAATAAACGTTAATAATGTTAATATAAATATTTACGTTAATATCATAACGAATGCGAATAATATGTGCGCATTATAATTTAGACGTAATACAATATATTATGATAATGAAAATAAATAATAATAGGTTAAGCGTTCTCGCTCGGAAGACAATAAATTGCAAGTACCCGTATACTTGCAATAAATACTGCAGTGAAATGTTGGAGCACCTATGTATGTATACATGTCCTATAGATGTCAAATGGCGTATTTAAAATTGTTCATGATAGGAGATGTAACAAAAAGTATTTCAGTCTTCACTCAAAATTTGGATAGTTTATAATTCATATTACATAAATACGTTTTTTAAATACATCGTAGATTACCATCATTCCCCTCTGTAAATTTAACATAGAATATAAGGTGTAAATAAGTTAGAGGTTAGATTATAATGTTATATGATCGGGTACATATATTTAATACATATTTCGTCTTAAGTAAGATACATTTTTAAATACCAACATCAATTAATCAATTCAAAATTCCTAACTACGATATTAAATTAATAAAAGTTTATATTATCACAGGTACGAAACTTAATTTCCAAGTAGATAACAGGTTTAAACAAGTTTTTAATAAGTTAAAACGATAAAAAAAAAATAAAAACGATACAAATAGTTTCTACTTAGGTTCGGGTGTCAATTTAAATCGTATAAATAGTATAGCTATTAAAATGGTGCTAATGACCCAATAAACTCTCCTTTCCAGTTGTACAGGGGGAAGTAAAAATATTGATACAGATTTTATATTATAATAAAATCAAGAATTTATGGCTCCTACATTAAGCTATGCAACAAGTCAATAAAAGTCAAATTTCTTTTAAATACAAGTGTTACACATTTTGTCTCCTTAATTAAAACGTGAGAATTTGACAATCATTAAAATATATTATTTATGCGTAATAATAATTACAAATATTGCATACAATAGATACCTATAACAAGGCTAACGAAAATAAAATTTTCCTAGGACTTTAAAGATTGGTTAAACAGTTGTACTAGATTATACTAGTGTACACAATAAACGTATCGACGAAAACAATACTTGTCGCCTTGGAAATTATGTATATAATAGCATAGGCATTGCCCCGAGAGTTGATAATGACCAACAACAAAACGTAAAAAAGGTGGTAGGTATTGTATATTTTAAATTTTTTACCGAGTACGGGTAAACAAAGATTTCGAAACGCCTTATAATTTTCTTTTACATAATTTGGTGCACATTTGGTCGTTCATGCAATATATACATAAATAAAATATACAAAATGATTAAAAGATATAATTTTAGTAACTTTATATTTTTGCGTGTTTGTAGGTGAATGTAACATACTACGCAACATTTTAGAAAAGTTGCATCCAATATATTAAACTTAAATTATCTCATTCCCTTAATGTTACTATTACAGATAATTTTTATTTTTATTATATTTGATTACTTACGTGGGTTGGTATAACAATAAATGGATATTACCGATATCGACTAGTAGCAACAGATTTTAAAAACATGTTAAGCTTGTGTCTAAGAACTCATTTGAAACAGCCTAGTACACATTAATGGAATAAAAAGATTTTTGTTGGTATTTGGAAAGTCGATAACAATAATAACTCGCGATAGATACCTATATTGTTTGTTTACTTACTACCAATTAAGACAATACGAGCGCAGTTCATTGTAAATTTGTGCCAATAACTTAAGTACCCTATTTAAATTTAATACTTATATGCCACTAAATAATAATATTGTTATTAATGTAATTCTCACCTGTTGCGCCTTTCGGACGGGATAAAATCCAGCATAATATTATTGTAACAATCCGGTGAATATCTGCAAATCGTTTGACTAAAATTATACGAAACGTACCATTAAAATATAAATACGATGACCACGATTTGTTTGTTTATTTACCGTTCGTCTTGATTTCGACGACAGTGCACTAGTCACCATGTACAATTTTACCGTGTTTTCGACGATCAACGGGAGGAATAATAATAAAAAAATATATAACTTTACCACCTCCCTGTAACAGTTTGACACGGAATTCGCGTGCGTACCGCGGTAGAGTCGTTAACGGTATGACGACAACAATTTGGAAATATGAATTCGAACAACAACTCAATGGCCTTACTGTGTCTGTCTGAGAGTAGTTGGGACACGAGTACACGACGTCAAATCGGGCTCGGGCGTACAAGCTTGATAGCAGGTTGCCGGTGGCAAGGTGGCGGCGATGGTGATCCGGTTACGGCTCCGGAGGAATGTAAACACTGCTGGAGATCACAACAAATCAACCTGTTGCAGGTGTGACGCATATCGGACAATAATCTCATGGAAGAACCAAAAGAAGAAGGCTGGTGGCCACTCACCGTAAAATTATTCGAAATAGTCCCGGATAGGTTATATCTATTATTTAGAAATAACCATTGGTCATTGATGGAAAAGGAAAAGAATCTTTATTAATCGAGGCGCGATGTTGTCATTAATCATTATTGTCATTATTCTGTAGTTATAACTTATAAACCATAACGCTACTGTATCTATATTTTTTTAGGGAGGTGTCTTCACTCTTCAACACTCAGCTATAATTTTATTGTAGTCGGTAGATAAGTATGTGTATGTTGTTATTTTAAAATCAAACAAACTTAAATAATATTGTCAATTGTCATATAATGTATTCTATGTACACACTCAGTAGTCAGAAGAACGTACTATTATGTATATACCTATAATAGTATAGTTTTTATATATTTAACATTTAGGTAATTAATATTTGAAATTATTTTAATAATTGAGTTTATGGGCTTATTATTACGGCATGTATAGAAATTTTGATACCCTCTAATGTTTCAAGGATAGATTCTATTAAATAATATTATTAAAATTTATAATATGATATTATTTTACTAAGTGATAAATGATAATACAATATCAAGTTCTAGTTCTAATTTATACTTTATACATATGATGGTATAATGTGTCAAATTGGAATACCTATAATGGAGGAGGTAAAAATAAACATCCGTAATCAGTATTTTTTTAAATATCTTTAAAATTATGCAGATAAGCAGAAACAAATAATATAAGTGAGAGGTAACATATTTATTCCGATATATATACCTACTCTGGGCCTTAGTAAATACTAAATACTTTGTATATTATATACTGTTAAGCGCTTTCAGAGCGTTCAAAGGACTTAAAGAATTATAAGAACGTTTGGTAGGTACCTTTATGTTTTGTAGATATATATTTTTAAATTGAAAACTGAAGTTTATATAATTTATATGATATTATATTATTTATATTATTTTAAGAATTTTGAAATTTAAAATAAAATGTTATTGTAATTTTTTTGTTGAAAAGAGAGAGAGGTATTCATACGTTTTTAATATTGTCATAGTAGGTATATAATTGGATATTTAGCGTTATTTATCGTAGATAGTACGTCACATTTTTCGTTTTTTTTTTTTTTTTTATTAATATATATATAATTATTATCATTGATAATCATTTCAAAGTTATCAATTATGTATTGAACTATTTTAAATTTATAAAAAATAAATTAAAATATCGAGAATTTTAATGTATTGTATATATTGTAATACTGTCTATTCTTATAAGGTATACTTTTTTACTAAATGTGTCAATTAATTAAATATTTATGTCATATAATCTAACATACTTATCAAAGCATTAATAATTAAGCAATAGTTATTTGTTTGTATAATAATTAATAATATATCCATAAGTGCCAAACTATCAACATAGTTATTATCGTAAATAGTTTTAACAGTGACTTTGCAAACTCGGTCTTTCATTTTTTTTTACGAACTATTGATTGGGATTTTACTTTTGGAAATATAAGCAAGCTAAATTACAGGTATATATACTAAAATATGACGATTATCATCATCATCTCATTTATTGTTACATAACATTCATATTTTGTACATTCGCCAGATGCCGGGATTTGCGTATTCCTCCTAAATGTATTGGTCTAACAGTAGAAAGTGAAATAATTATTAGCAAGAATATATTACCTACATAGTTACATTGTATTATATTATTAAAATTAGAGTAAGTACCCTAAGTACATATTGTTTATTTTTTTAACGTGACTATTAAAAATATTCTTACCTTAAAACTAAAATGACTATAATAATAATTACTACCTAAGTAAATAATATTTAAAAAAAAATCTATTGAACTTTTTTAATAATAACTGACCATAAGGAATAAGAATATTATAAATTATTTTACGTTGTTTAGAGTCGGGTAATGAATAATACATGATAAAGTTACAGTTAATCATGCAATAGTGTAATAGTGAATGTATGTTTTCAATATTTTATTGATAAAGGGAACTATGGCCACTTGTTGTTTACTTTGATATGTGCATTGTACACCTGTGACTTTTTTACAATGTCTGGGAGATTATATAATAGCTATATAACCTCCGATTGCACAAGTTATTATCAATATATTTTTATCTTTAAAATTTTGATTAGTGATTGCTTATCGAGCTGTGCGATGTTTATTGTTATTGTTTTTTAATTAATTTATTATTTAGTTTGTTTTTAGTTGTATTATGAATAAGTAAGTAACTTTCAATTTATTAATTAACGCTAATCTTTTGGCTTGTTACTTTATGATCTATTTAGTTAATGAATTTAATTGTCATTATTTTGTCCAAAAAAATAAACTGTACGTGTATTACAAATAATTATTGCGTAATACATAGTGTATAAGATCAATAATAAAGTTTTTGCACGTATTTTTATGATAAATATACATTGTTTTATTGTGTATACCGTGAATAATAATAAAATCAAATAGGTAATAATTATCTTGACTTTCACTTAAGGTTTTGTTTATTGAGAAAGTTGTAATAAAATATAAATCTGAAGAAAACTATACACAGTTAGACAAGTTTTTTCTTATATTTATACAGTATATGATTATGTTTCTATGACTATCTATAAACTTTAAATAGGTATATTGTTTAGTTGAGTGATACGTGCATTTGTACTAACTTTATGTCCAGTAAAAAATTCGTATTTTCAAAATTATACTTTAAAGTATCCAGTTCCTGACTAGAAATTACGTTTTGGCTACTTAAAATAAGTATTACTTTAAAATAACATTTTTTATTTTTAAAATGCAAATAAAATATCTTATTTAAATGAAAAATAAAAGAATCTATATTTAATTTTCAAAACTTTAACAAATTTATCTATGTGACTACGTGTTAAATTTGCCTTGGATTTTGTTACTAAATAAATATACGTTCACATATTTTAACAACAAACAACAGCTTATATCTTAGATCGGTTCAATCAGATCAAACTTTAACCAATTAGTATATACATGTTATAAATATAAATTTTAGAACGTATAGTAGTTAGTGCTTTAGTGTATAATATAATTAAATACAGTTTTTAAGTATGTATTAATAGATTTTATCATCTATTATAAGTATTAAGATACTTGTTAATATCTTTTATTTGGATAAAATATTCGCATTATATTAATGTGAATAATGCTTGTAATGTTGATACCTATATAGTTAACTTAATAAAATATGAACTTTATAATGTTAGGTACACTTTTTGATCTAAAGGATCTATACGAATTAGTACTATCGTCTAACACTACCTTTGTAATTTTAAATGTATAATATTTTTTGTAAACCTAAATTTCAATTGACATTATTGTTGTTTCACACATAGACACATAATTTTAAGATTTTCGGAATTGTTTTTAGTCGATTAGACCTTTATAATAACATTTTAGTATTTTACATGGATAAAATTGAATTGAGTCCCGTAAAAAATACTTTAGGGTTATCTGAGTTGAGTCCAACCAATATTGTTAGGTTATTCGAGTTGAGAACCTTTCTTTCATTGTAATAATAAGTATAAACAGTCAATTAATTAATAAATATTAAAAATAATAATAAATAAATATACTTTTTTCTTAGATAATAATTTTTTATCAATAGTTATAGAAAAATACTAAAAAAAAATTGAAAATTTGTCATACCTATAAATATTTTCAAAACAATTAAAATTTGTTGAAAATTTTATCATAATATAGGTATTGAAAATAATAATTTGGAAATTTCAAGTACGTACTTATCTTATTATTTTTGGAAATATTACAGAATATTAAAAATTGTAAATATCTAAACATACACTCCATTTTTTACTTGTGATAATTTGATAAGTAAGTATTAATTAATTGCGTGTCACCGGCTATATATAGGTAGTTATGACATCTTATCTATACGGACTCAATTCAAAGATACTAAGATAATAAGTTGGACTCATTTCAAACACATAAAAGTAGCATGGACTCAATTCAATATCACTGTTTTACATTTGGCTTAGAATCATTTTTATTAAATAATTAGTTATCGCATATAAATTGTTTAATAGTATGTTAGTCAATTATTGTGTTGTGTTGTTGGAATTTTCATAAGTATAATAATATGCATATACGTTATCATACATTTATGCATTACGCGATATTTGGCCATTTAGACATAGTTTGTCAAAGTAGTACATATAGTCCCGAAATTACAGTGGCATTATATTTATTATGTGTTTAGGTACAACGGGATATACAGTTATCGGCTTTATAATATAAAATTATGTGACCCACATAATATATTATGTAGCCGTCAATTGATTGATCACAGCCTCGCCACAGACAATACTACGGTGACGATACGTTCTTCTTTTAATATGTACATAATATGTATATTATATATGTGCAATAAATAAATGTAATAATCTAAAATAGGTTTTATATGTAGTTACCTCCAGGAGTATTGAATGAATATTATGATTATAAATTAATTAATATTATTATAGATATGATTTGAAATAATTTATTAATTATTAAAGTTTGAAGTTGAAATGATTTCAAATAATACTGTGTCATCAGTGAAGTTAATGTAGGAGAGTGTTATTCTAAGTAGTTATGTCAGAAGTGTAGACATTATAGATTCAAGGAGAGAGGATACCTTGGAAAACTTCAGCCTTATTAGTATATACATTAAGTAGAAAATATAATGACGTGTTAACTATACCCTTGTGTATGAGATATGCAGTTATTAAAGAGAAGAAAATAAAAAAAAAATTATATTAATACATAGATACTAGATACCTGTACAGTGTACCTATTAAAAATGTCGAAAGTACACATTCCTATCCAAATAAAACTCCCATTTTGTTATTATATTTTTGTGGCCACTAAAATCGCAGAGGGCGAAAACTCTTTTCACTCTGGCCTTTGTGGTGTACCTAATTACGTTCTATTTATTATTATGACTTGTATAATATTATTATCTAGCCATTATCAATCAATATACCTATGTAGTTAACATATATGCCGAAAATTTAAACGAACGTGTTTGTTTATTTCAAGAAAAAATTAAAGGGTAATTTTAAAGAAGAAACATGTAGCTTCATTGTATTTCTTTAAAGTATTTTTTAACATTTGCTTACGAATATATGGTGTATAATGTATATATTTAATTGTTATACAATGAATCTCTTTATTGATTATGCCTTAATGTTATTTAACAGTAACTCTTTGTTGCTGGTTTTAGAATTTTAACTGACCATGGGTATATAATTTTAATTTTGATTTTATTCTAAGTTACAAAAGCGAAGAATGTATTTAGACAAACATTTATATGAATTATATTTTGAACACGCAAATGGTAGATTTTAAAGAAGGGTTTATCTTGAGATCTTAAAGTAGATTGAAATTAGTCTTGTCCAACTCTTGTGTTGCTTAATATTTTAATAATTAATAAGTATGTATCATTTATTATTTATAATACTATAACTATGATAGTTTTTCAGTAAGTACCCTAAATAATGGTTTAATAACTCGTTAACTTGACTACTGAATATAATTGTATAAATATATATATACATATATATATAAGAATTGACATTTGAGTTAGATATCTACTGTCTGCAATATAAAATAAAATATGATATATTTATGTAATATATAATACTGTGATACATTTATGTTTATTTTCACGTTGAAATAAAAATAAAATCGTAAAAAGATTTATTTATTACATTACCATTTGTATACACTGCAGTACTTACGTACATATAAACTTGTACAATATGAAATGTGTATAGGTGGATGAGTTCCCTACCCATCCTACATAGGGCTTGTACAGTCACTGCTGTTGACCGTTATCGTTTCGACCAAAAATTTTTACGCCGGAGGTGCGGAGGGGAGAGAACGATCGCGCGCGCGCGTTTTGCGATTGTCGCTTACGCATGGTTAATGCGACCGCGCACTGTTGCACATGTCCCGACGTTCAGTCCGCCGCACATTGTCGATAATCACGCGTTGGTGTACGGTACATCATAGTTAACAAGACGCACAATTCTTGTTCTCCGTCCCTGTTTTTTCGCGTTCACTTTGAGCCGAGTAATATCGTAATAATATATTACAAAGGTAGATAATTATTATTTCTTCATGAAAACCCATTTTTCGTGTTTTTTATAAATTCTCTCGTCTACAGGTCTACAACAAAAATTCATGTCTATTTTAAATCTTTCATGATTTTATAAAACACACATAAAATTGTCACGGTTGTGCGATCAATACAACTATAAAATATTGTATAATATAATATTTCGTAATTCATTCGTCTTCATTCCATTTTTATGTTGTTGTTAGCCCGCGGTGAATTATAGTGCTGCTGTACTGCGGAGAAGATCAAGACACGACGGCTGACTTTGTTGCCGCCTCCGTTTAGAGATGAGCAGTGAGACCAAATTGTTGATAGGCAGCGATATGATCGCGTCCAAAGACATACTCAATCCTTTCGTACACCATCTGGAGCTGACTTCCACCTACGACAAATTTAAAGTAAAGTTATAAAAGTTAAAAATAACGTTTTAAATTTAATTGTTTTCTACCGTAGTATGGGGTTGGATATAGTAATGACTGATGAGCAATGGCCACACGCTATAGGTTTAGTTACCATATGTATAATTTGCATTATGGTAGTTATAATTGTACATTGCAGCTGTCTCGAATGTCATTAAACAAGGAACAATTCATTAAACTATTAGATAAATATTAATTGCGCATATTTATATAGTTGATTTAACTATAGTTATTAATTAAGTCTGCATTTATTTTTTACCAAATATAGGGTTAATAATGATTGGTATATGACGATAGTATAAACTATGAATTATTTTTGATCATTCACTATAGTGAAATAATTTTTTTCGTAATACCTAAAACCATCCTATATATGACTATATCTGTAGTAGGTATGTACCTATACATATAATATTGTATATTTTATTGTAATCCACTACAATTACCTTCATAATATATATTACATATGTATAATATATTATATACGAGTTATTTAATTGTATGGTGTATCGTGTGTTATTATTGTCAGTACACACGGTTTATAATTGCCATAATACTAAAACATTTTATGTTCCTATTATATTATTGTGTTCCTTGTACTTGCACTCGTATTTATTTTCCCGTGTTGATTGTTAAATGTATGATATATTACAACAATTTTTATGTACCTCATACACAGAAGGTACCTAAGCGGCTAAGCCAATTGTTTTTGTACGGTTTACAACGTTCTAATCGATTAAAATGCTACCTACTGAGCTAAATTCGTAAAATACATTCTTATTTAGTTTTTGATCAGAATGATTTCTTCGAATTATCGGTTTTAGAACCTATTTTTATGTACACCCAAAAATGTTAACATTTAATTTTGCAAAAATATTCTGATCACTGGGAAATTTGGGAATGGAACCACAAGAGCGTCCATTATTATAATATTCATAAATAAAACTTATTTCAATCGAAATAAAATTACTGTTGCGGCTGGATTGTTAGAGATGCAGGTGATCGATAATATAAGCCCGACGATTTCGAACGGGTTCAGCACCCGGTGAGGATATTGCATTTATTTTAATTATACCTCGCGATTTGTTTTATAACTACCTACTGCTTTAATGATCACTATATACTTTTAATCCTTTAATTGCATGTGAAATTTTAACACATAGATTGTTGAAGTCTTCGATACAATAGTTAATGTTTATTTGTATTTAGTAGTAATGATTCGTTCATTTAAATTTTGATAGCATAATATTTACTATTTAGTATTCTATGAAATTGAATAAGATTACTGACTATTACAGTATTTTGTTGTATAAAAATGTGTGCATTCATAGTTCATACTATAAGTAAATAAATATTTATTTTTTTGATTTTGATATTACATTGTAATTCGTAATTACACCAATTTTACAAGGTACATTTCCGCCAATAATCATTGAGTATCAAGAATACTACATATTTTATTATCTATTTATACCGCGGAAGTAAACGTTCATTATTATACAGTTATTACGCGTACATAAGGATTCGGTTAAAAAACTTTCTTTAAAGACTCACTCACGTTTTTCATTATAATTTACCTACTATATCTATCTACTTAAATAGGTACCTATAATATCAGTTGTTACGTTGCAAGATTTAAGACAAAAAGTGTTTATTATGTTTGACGTCAAATAAATGCTATATATTATGTACATTTCAGCATTGTTCTGTAGTAGTATGCAATATCAAAATATGCGTTTAAATTACGAACGTTAGAAAATTTTACTGGATAACCGCCAGGATGATTTTTGTATGGAGGTGCCATAGGTTTACACATTGCAAGATGTAAGTATACACTATACATGCTGCAGTTTAGCAACTAGGTAGTTTTTGTGTGTGGTTATCATTTCGTGACGTAACACTGATTTCTACGGAAGTGTATAATATATTTAAATGTGAAGAGTGATTTGCTCAACTTGTTATTATTTATTCAGAGCGCAGTGCGTGTAATTTCGCATCATAAATATATATTATTATTATAGAGTGTAGGCAATACAATTTCTTTGATGAAGCCAAAATTTATCGTGGCGTTGTATATTATTCGATTATACAAGTTCACCTTGATGATTATATATTTTTGTGGAGTGCGGACGTAAACAAATCAAGAGTTTGGCACCCACTACATAATGTATAATTAAAGATGTTTAGATTTTGTGGGGTGGAGACTTGGATTAAAAAAAATTGAAATGGAAACTTATACAAATTATTTTAATAACAATAATAATGACATAAAATTTAAAATAAAATTTTTGGTGGCTATATAATATGTTTGTAATTATTATTATTAAAAAAAAAAAAAAAAAATAATAATAATAATAATAAATAAACAATTGATATTGACAGGGTATAGGAAGTAATAATATATATTGAATGGATTGATTTTGAAGAAACTCGTGATGTATCATTTATACTACAGTATAGTATATTATGTACCACGTTATGTGTTTATCCTATTGAGATAATTACAATTTGAGAAATTTTGTTTAACATACATACATTTTTCCAATTCTTAGACATGATTTATAGACTGTAGTACTATACGTTAAGTCATATATTATATATCTTTTGTTTTTTAAAATATATATTTTAACGAAATTATTGAATTTTACCTTGAAATAGTATTATTGTTAATAATAAAACCGTAAAACGAAAATGCAGTAATAAATAATTAATATAATATGTTTGTACAGATTAAAAGGTTTTTTTTCTTAAAATTCTATATTATGTTATCTATTAAATTTAGAACAATAAGTTCAAGTGATAAAAATAAATAATAACATTTAAAAAAGACAGAGAGCAATCCTCCCGGCGGAGGTAATTCATCGAGAATATTAATTTAAAACAGTGATATTTATAAACTAATAATAATAATACAATAAATAAATGTAATTATAAGCAATAATAATAGTCGTAGCAGAAAGTGATATAAATTTTTACTATTTTTTTAAAATTAAAAGATAAGAAATATAATATAACTACATTTTTAAAAAATAAATTCATTGAAGTTCTCAGATAAGTATAATATTATGTAAATATTTAAAGTAATTATCATAATAAAACTATGGACTTTTTTTTTGAATTTGCTACTATAGTTAACGGGTTTTAAAAAAATTCCATTTATGAATCATATAATTACTATTTGTTTTTTGCTTATACCCAACTTCTGAATAGTTTTAATTTTTATCAATATAATTTAAATATCAAAAATATTAAAAAAAATGTAATTACATTTTAGAATAGAATTATCTAACTCATTTGCACACTCATTACGTATGCATGAATTCGTTTTTTAAAACATATAATATTTTTAATACATTTTTCATCATATTTAGTACATATTTCAAATAATTTATTACTAAATTTTATGTTTTTATTCGTATCTTTTTCAAATACATACTTATTTAACACACTTATATAATGATTTAATTATCTTGTAAAAATATATATTATTGTATAGCGTTTGAAGTGTTTAAACAAATATAAATCTATAGGGCTTTGGTCTTTTACCTATTCAATATTTAATGTCTCTAATATATAATATAGTATGTATAATATAAAGTATATCTAATAGTTTGTGTCCGTCGCGACTTTAGTTGTCATGGTTATCAATGTCATTATCGATTTTGTAAAACTATGTTTAATTGTATTTTTTGGCCTACACTCACGTAGACAATTGATGTATTTAATATCTAATATGATAGTAGTTTGATAGGTTTATCCTTGTCTTAAATATATTGTTTTATTGTCAACTAATTGATTAAATATTTTAATATGTCTATATTATATACATAACAGTTCGTAATTCAAACACCCATTGCTATTAGTTTAAGTTTGAGTAATTATTTTAATTTTTTGAATTGTGTATAATACAATACTATGTAGATACCGAGAATTAGGGTAATTTTTATGCATAATAATATATTTTGTATATAGTTATAAAAATAGCAGTAAAATATCTAAAAACCAAAGTAATTGAATAAGTATTTACATTTTGCTTAAATTTTTTTACACATTATGATGTATATATAATATATGTTAATATGTTATACATATTACATATATAATTCCCTATGTATAATCGATAACTATAGACTGGCATATTTATTTTGTGTATAGTTCAACGGTTGAAATATATATATATGCATATCATGTGGTAACGTTTTCTTGTCTACCAGTTACGTTCTAAATATATACGTATATACGTTAAACATATTAAATACAATATTTATGTGACTATGTATGGTTTAATTTTAATACATTCATTCGCACAGTATTAATATTGTTATTTTCATCTTTAAAGTCTATATCGATCTCAAACACCAGGGTGTATAGGATATAAATTGGTATATAACATTAGTATATTATTATTGCAGTGTGTAACCGTTTCGAACTTGTCGCCAATAAGACCTTTTGACTTCAATCAATTGAACCTTAGATTATAAATCATTTCATGATACATATATTACTTACACAATATATATTACACATCGCAAACGTAGGTCGTGTGTGAATATTGACAGTTGACACACAGTTGTGTATTTTATGTATTTTAATTTTATGTCTTTCGAATGCCGAATATTTATCAGTTTATCACTATAAAAATTATTTGCGACGTATTATCTTGTAAATTTTAAATTGTGTGTTCTCTATTATACCTAAGTGAACAAATCGTGTCTTATGATTTTAGTATTTTGATTTCTGTTTGTGAGACGATTTAAATATTATTGTAAAAGCTACTTAAAACGTGGTTTGAGATTATCCAGTAAAAATTATTTATGAATTATTATAAATAATACGAGTTAAACATTTTTTTCTTTTTATGTATATAGGTTTAATTAAGGTTGAAATTACGGGATAAAACAATATTATGAACTTAAAATAATCTATAGGCCACAGGGGACCACCCCACTGCCCCCTATGTACCATCATAACATATTTTAGATTTTATAAGAGAAGAAAATTTATTGAATTTACAAAAATATGTTTTTTTATGTATGTGATACTATCGTGATAGCAATGTAAGCCTGTCATAAAAATGGTTTACTTTATTTAAAATTCTGTACACCAATCACAAATTTTTTACTAGTTTGTTAAAAAATGAATTACTGCTATGAATTTGTTTTCTGTAATATGAGGGTGTGAAAAAAGAAAACAAGTCAACTTCATAGTAGGTAACATTTTAATACATTAACGGTTTTTTTCTATTGTTAGTACTTGCAAAATTATTTAAAGTTCTTCACTGCCAATTGTTATTTTAATATAAATGATGGATACATTTGAAAACCGTTCTTATTACATAGTTGACCGAAGCCATGTTTTGATTCGATTTATTGCAGAAAACGACCTTTTACAAGTTGCATTACTTATTGATTAAGTAAATTAAATATTAAGGAGTTTCTATACATTTGGAAAAGTAGCGCTTTTTATGGTACAAAATAGCAGAATGGGGCATACGATATGCATTGGTTAATAAAAAATATTGAACTTACAGAAATAAGATGTATATTTTTTTAGATTCAAATTATATGACATAATAGAAGTCGAAAGAAATAAATGTAATGTTTAACACATTTCAAAGTTAATATACTTAGTCAAAAACAATTAAAACTTACTTTTTTTTAAATTTTAAATATAATACGGCATACATAACAAAAAATTGCATTATTCTCGATATTGTTCTTCAGTCATGGAAAGTTATCATACCGCGAAACAGTAAAACTTCTGTTTTGAGTATACTTTGTTTTGTTTTTGGATAAACCTAAACAAAATTTGTAAACTAAGTGTTATCGATGATATAAAATAATAATACATTTTATAACAAGTCCTAAGTTAATAAAGCATTTACCAAAATACAATTATAATTTGAGCAAAAGGAAAGCAAGTTTATACTTATTAATTATGAAAAAATATTTACATATAAAGATTTTTATTGCCTAACCGATGGATATATAACTATTTTATAATTTAATAGTTGGGTTATTTATGATAATTGTTGTATTAATGTATTAAAACATTAATGGCAAATAAGAATAAAAAATAAAATAAAAATAAACAGAGGATAATTTTCAAATTATCTATTGATGAATAATAACTTATTTATAATATTGGTCGGTATGGTCCTGTGTGAATATTTCCCAAATCATTTCGACAATGAATCTAACTATTAGAATGTATTTTCTGCGTTGATAGGGGTGATCAGTTGTATGTTGTGGAAGTGGCTTCGATCACTACGTGTTCATTAGTATTTTTATTAATATTAAAAATATCAAAATTTTTATTGTTTATCTTACAGCAATAAATTCATATACAAATACAAACAACTAAACAAATTCGACGTAATGTTTTATGATAATAAATATTTTTCAATATTCTAAGCTAAAATATTACTACACAGTACTACAAAATTTATTAATACAATCGCTAAATATTTTACAAAATAGACATTTTTTCGTCGATATATTTTTAGCAAAGATAATCATTATCTCTTATTTATAATTTTATTTGAAAACATTTTAAGTTTTTTAAACATAATTTTTTTTTTCTAATTGAAAAATACAACTTTAAATTCAATAAAAGATATTTTTGAGGGGCTAAGTTGAGGTGCTGTGAAAAATATGAAATATATATATCACCCTTTATAAAATGATCCTAGTTACGTCACTGGCTTGTTCTTATACATGATAGATATTTATGTTGATTGTTTGAATAACACATTTTGTATAGGTACATAGTGACTATATATACAAAGAAATTACAAGCATTGTCGTGTTAAAGTTTAGACAATCGACTGAAGTGTTATTTATCTGACACAGGTGTACGTAAAATAATAATAATAGTAATAACAGCGTATTGTTATTATGGTTGTATATTTGTGTATGGTACATTTACAATATGTATTCATATAAGTACATAATAGTAGATTAATGTAAAATATCGTGTGCTTACTCATTACCGGACGTCGTTGCACCACATTTTTAATTTGCTAAATAATTATCTCGTATGAGATTTCTTCAATATTGGTAAACATTAAATAATGTATGATTATATTATTGGCGTTAAATTCAGTTGTAGTTTGCATTTTGTTATTCGTTTTAATCTGAAATGTGTACGATATTATTAAATGTAATAAAATATTATATATAATATATAATTTATGGATAATTTTTTCAATATAAATTAGTATAAATTATACGATAATAATACGATTTAAGTGATTAAATGATAAATATTATGTTAATAAGAATAAAATACCTTGTATAATGTACTTATGTGTGTATAATGATTATTGATCATAATTCATAATGAATAATGAGTAATGACGAGTATGCCTTTTCTAGAATAAGTATATATAAAATTGTATTTATTTTGGGATATTTTATTAAATAGTTTGTTATTTAGTTAATTGTACATACTTCTTCCATTAAAATAATAAGCATAACTTAAACTATACATTTATCAACATAATATGTAATGACCATATTGAAAAATACATTCATAAATTATATTAATTTTAATATAATGTTTTTCCGAAACATACATTATTTACAATAAAAATATTGTCAATAATATTATTTTGAGGCTATAGGTTAATAGGATAAAATTGATTGAAATTTATTGTTCAGTGTTTTTACATTTAAAATATTTTCCATTACATAACTACGTGTTCAGTATATAAGTGTATACCATAAATTGCTTAAAACAAAAAAATATGATGTACTTATTTATTTTACATTTCACTACTAGCTTATTTAATAACAGTAATGAAACTTAGTTTTGTAGTTTGAATAGTGCTCATAAATAGTTACAGTTATAGGTACTAATATGAGTTCTTATTGTATAAAGATAATTACGTGTTAATGTTTTGTTATTTACTTAATATATTCTGTTACCATTTTGTTACATGAATCCTACATTTTTTAAACTTTACCAAGGATATCAGTAATGTAACATAACATACATGTTATTTAATGACATTTCGTGTACTTCCAATATAGACCTTGAACATATTGTGCAGGATTATAGTGTAATTTATTGGCGTATGAAGCCTTAGACTTTAGAGCATATGAGTTGACAGAAATCTAAACAGAAATATAATAAGTCACCATCGTTATTACCAATATTTAGATATATAGTGTATATAAATAATTAAATATTTAAGTATAATTTGTGTTTTCTGTTCACCATAATCGGGCTTAAAAATGTTTATTGTTTGCTATACATATATTTTATTATTTGAAGTATAAATTATTATAACAGTATTATTATTATTTGTGTATAATATACATTGGTTATAATAGTCTAGATATATAAAATTAAAATTATACATATATGTTATGTCGCGTTCCGTGTATACTAGGCATATAAGTAATATACATTTATTCGTTGTTTTTCACATCTATTATTAATACCTTTTAATAGCAGAGTCTTTTGTTTTATTTCAGACTGCATTTTTTACCATAGTTGTTCTACCCATAAGGATACTGGCAATTTTGGTGTTACTGTTTATAGCTTGGCTGTTAGCGACGATTGGTTTGGTTGGTGTTAGTCAGACCGAATTATCAGAGAGACCACTTACCGGATGGAGACGGTAAGTTGCATAAAAAACTGACTTAACTTATGAGTTATGACTATTATTACTAATAATAACCTATAGTCATACTTTTTACATACGTAATAATGTGTATGTAATGAGTTATGACTATATTTTTCAGTTATTGTAATATTTTTTTCAAATCTATTTAATACGATTATGGATCCTTTATCATAGTCTACAAGGGTATAAATACTATAAACTAAGCTGGACAGCGATTTTTAATTTGAACTGAGATTTACACCTCCTTATTTTTTTTTTTAGTACAGTATTTTGATTGGCATTTATGTCTATATAATATAACAGTATAGACAATACTTATTCACTCTTTATCGTATAACGTTAAATTGAATTGGCGATTTAGAACGTTTATTATATATGTTCACATATATACAGTGACTTGTCAATAATACATTATTGTTACCTTTAGCTAGGCACTAAAAATTTGACACGTTAGGCTACAACAAGTAATAACTTTCATTATTATCTAAATTAAACAAGGTTAATATTAGGTATATGTAAGCACCTTTCCTAAACGAATACTATAATTTTGAAGGCTTAAATAATTAATAGTTGCTATTGAAATTGTAAATTAATTAAGTTTTAGCAAAGTAATTTTAAATAATAATAATTAGATATTAATTCTTAATTTTATAATATAAATAATATAAATCTGAAAATCATAATACTATTTAATAAAGAAGGAATCTATTTTGAATTTAACACTAATAATGTGTCAATATTGTACTTACCTATTTTCTTGTGTTCAGAAATATTATAATTTTTAATCATATAATAATATATAATAATATATGCATATCAATTTCTGTTCAAAAATGGTTTTAAGTGAAAATTATGTTTTATAATATAATATAGATTATAAACTGAATTCTCGATAATAATTATTAATATTGGATTTAATTATTTTAAATTTTTTTTTTTATATATTGCACTATGATTTATATTAAGATGTATTATATGAACTGACAGATTCCGGTTAGTTATAGAGTCATAGTCAATAGATATTAAATTATTTTGATATCAAGTGAATTTTAAAATTTAAATAGAATTTTTTCACTGAAACACTATAATAATCGATTCATTACGAGGCGTTACATAATAACGAAATTTATATAATATTTACGGTAACAACAATTAATTCAATCATCTATTAAAAATAATTTATGATTTTTATTATTATTGATTAGTTATAGATATAATAGGAATTTTAGTTATTTTCTGTCAAAAAACTACAGTTTTTAAATTATTATAATACAATAACAGGAAGGTGGATATTTAATTGCATGTTAGAACTATACACATATTTTTTATTATAAATGTCAATTGTTTGTGCTTAAAAGCTTTCTGCAATACACTTATTTTATTTTGTTTTAATTTATGTCATATATTTCGTTTAACCATGTACGTTTATATCCATATAACATATATGTGTTACGATCGAAATATAATATTATTTTATAATGTACTTATCACACATTATATTTACCAATAAAAATATTTAAAAATGTTGCCTGTTAGACGTTGGTATTACTATAGTAATACAGTTTTTTAAATTAAAAATAATTAATTAACTTATAAATTATGTTAAAAATATCTTCCATTAATTTTTGTTGACTATAAAAAAAAAAAAACCTTATCAATTCCAATTATATTTCATTTGAGACTTGAAATTTAAAAAAGATTGCATTCTTTAATTTAATTATATTTATGTTGGGTTAAATTCAAAACTGATGTTTTCAATAGGATAGATACTAAATAGCAATATTGATACGATTTTTCAATACTTATGTATATGGTGTTTTACTGTATTAAAAATAAATTTATTCAAATAAATTAAATCTATTTATATATATCAATGTGAAAATGAAAATCTTTGTTACTCGTGTTCTTTGAAACTATTCATTTGATTATTTTGATTTTTTTTTTAAAATTAGTTGGTACACCACGGAGCAAGTTTTAAGCCTATTTCTGATTACATAAGTTAATGAAAAATCGAGTTATTATATTTTTAAATAATCAGCAAATACGCAGATAAAGATTTTTTTTTCATCTGTGTTACAAATCATTAGTTATCACTAAAAATTAGTATTATAGTGAATAGTTGATAAAGTATAACAATACAACATTTTTTGGTTGTTTTTGGTTCATAATATTGAAATTTTATGAGTTCTTGGTTTTTGATATAAAATGGAAATGAAATGAAATTTGTGTCGTTCAATGAAAAAAAAAAAAAAAAATGGTGCTGTTAAACAATCAAAAAAAGCAAGGCTGGACGGGACAGCTACCCTGTGTGCAAAATATAATCTCTGAGACGTTACATAGTCCTCTCACTAAGCAGTGAGATGTTCAAATTTAGAGCCTAGAGATGTCTCAGAGACTCTTATGTGATGCTTAATGTCCAGACACGCGAAGTTACTGCATGCGATGTCGCAAAACAATGGTCTATGTGTGGTCACACTAACTTCCATAGGTCATCTTGTTGAGATACATTGAACAACCCAATTTCATCGCATCGACTTCATATAGAACTCACAAAATTGATGTTCATGAAAAAAAAAACCAATGTCGGGCGCGCGCGTTCGCGGATGGTTTTTGTTATTTTTTGCATCCGGACGGATTCGAAACCTAGACCCCTGACACTTCTAACCTACGCCTAACCTACTGGGACACCTTAACACGATTTATCGGTGCTAACATTTTAGTGTATTTAATACCTATCATTTATAATTGTAAATATTTCTGTAGTTTATACTTGGTGTAAATAAGTACTTAAACATTAAAATAGAAATACATTTTACTATTTACGTGCGAAAAGCATTACCCCCTAATATAAATGAATAAATTGTTTCATTTCATATTACCTATTCATATTAATTGTCAACTAGGTATACATACTAATTAATAATTAATATACAATCATACTTATTACCTACTTAATCAATACCTAGGTATTTTAAAAATAAAATCGTTAATTACAAATTTTCATAAAAATATTAATTTTACTTCAATGAGTAGGTAATAATGGTTGAACATAATAAAACTGACACAGAGTTTTTAAAGCATTTTAAGTAAGTTAATACCTAATTACTGTTTACAAAATATAGGTAATTATTAGGTAGGTACTATACCTACTACCTAGGTATATTATATATGTTATATTATATTATATATTTATATAACCATTTTAATGGGACCTATAAGTCCCATAACTATTATACCTAACTATATGTAAATAAATAAAATAAAACAAATCATGAACAATTTAATTTGGACTCAAATATTAATATATTTACATACTTATAATAATATAGGTGGTAGTATACCTACTTACTAATTAAACACAATAAATATCATAATACAATAAAATACATTTTGTTTGATAAGTAAATAATTTATTAGATATACCTACTAATTATTAAAAAATTCAAGCACCTATTTAAATGTACCTATAGTTATAAATAAGATACCTTCTTGAAATTTAAAACATTTTGTCATATTTATGTATTAAAATTAATATTGGTAGGTATGTAATAAATTATATTTGATAATATAGGTAGGTACCTATAGCTAACTATATTATTATAAAAAAAAAAAATAGACAACAAATTATTTGGATAATTGTATTATAGGTAATATATTATAAGAACATGTTATTATATATATATAATAAAATAGAAGTAGACAATACCTTTTATGTAGGTATACAATGCAAATACAATTGATCATAAAAAAAAAATACATTTAAATGTACCTAATTATAATATATATAATATATATGTTATAATTATTTAAGTATATTATACTATTTTAAGTTATAACTTATACCTTCAACTTGGGTAAAATAATTAATGAGACTATGATTCTATTAGTTGATAGGTATGTAGGTATGACAATTTTTTTTTGATTTTTAAGTTATAATTATATAAAATATATTATGATGAGTGTAGTAATGCGATAGCTATATATTTACAATTACCTATTGGTGTCACAAAGCATTTATGTTTTAAACTGTTTATGTTGATTAAAACTGGTTGAATTTTTGGAATAATTTCTTTGATATAAAATATTTTTGTAATATCTGAGGTAAATGGATAATCAAACATGGGTGAATAATCAAATTTAGTTGCTTCAATTTTAATCTGACCATTATAATATTTTATTATTTTGGTAACTTCGACTATATCATTATTTTGCAACATAAAATATTTATCTTTAGCATTTTTTGAACTCACCAAAAATTTTTCTAATACAACTTCTTCATACATAGTTTCAGTTAATGAATTATTTGAATTAGTATTAAATGTTGACTCTCGTTTCAATGTAGGATATATTATTGGAGATATAATTTTATTAATTTGAATTTCAATATTTTCCATGATGCGGTTATATGCATCTTGGAGAGGAAATCTATCATTTTTACAACTTTTTTTTAAAAACTGTAAATAGTTTTCATACTTGAATGCGCTAAATAAATCCAAATGGCCATGTATCAAAACAAAATCAGCTAGATGTATCAGACCATGAACATTATATCTCTACAATATCTCAGAGACCTCGCATTGAATCAATTTAAAATTATAATATTGTTACATCTATAAGTAATCGCATAGTACAACTATCCCAGTAATTGCATGACAACAATTTCTTTGTAATATTACAAATGACAGTCACATGGAATTCTATTTGCGACGTCGCTCAGTTTAAACTATACAACTAATATTTTTATATAGTCTCATAAACATATCATAGAAGTATAATTGTAATATCACACTTGAGATTACTAAAATACAATCGCATAGAAGTCAAAATCACATTATTGCACACAGGGTATGTAAAGTTAATATGTCGTAAATATCATCTTCTATATACCAAATCAGAAAACCAAAAATATTATTTATCCATACGCTCACGCTAAATATTATCATCAGGCAACCAAATTTAATACAGATGCATTGTACAGGTAATGAAGTAATGAAATGTATAGGTAGGTAGTAGGGGTATAATATCAATGTTTGTGCAGTTAAGTTTATAACTTCAATTGTATTTTTGATCAGAAGTGATATTTTTAACGTTTCTCCACGCATAAGTTTATGTTCATTTTTACGAATCTAAAGAACTGTTAGTTTAGATTGGAGAAGGAGAGAAAGAGAATTATATATGGCACCTACTATCTATTTACATCATAGGTATCCTAATGGCTAATAGTAAATATATAAATACTGTTGTAGGGCAGTTATAATTTTAAATAATGTCATATTCATATATTTATATTATGCACGCTTCACGTATACGTGGTATTGGGCTTTTGATTGCGTTTTAGCTGTGTCAGACGTGCGGTGTACGTGGTCGTCCGGCTTATGTTCGGGGCGGTTGGTTTCCACCGGGTCAGAACTGTCGGCGAGCAGGCCACGCGGCAACAGGCGCCTGTACTGGCTGTGGCGCCGCACTCGTCCTTTTACGACGGGCTGGCAGCCGTCATCACTGGCGGTCCAACCATCGTAGCTAAGGAAGAGAACTCGTTCATACCGATCGTAGGAAGTACGCGATGATTCACATCCTCTTTATATTTGACATCGTTTGCACCGTGTGGCATTGTTATTATTGCATAATATGTTTGATTATTGTATGATTGGGGATAGGTGGCACGCTGTAGCTGATTCGATTAGTTTTCGTCTAAGATTTGAAAAGAAAAACGTATACGATTTGGTAAACTTTGGTGCATTTGAGTTGCATGCTCTATGGTCACCATTGGTTATATAATACTATTATTTAATTATTTTGTGTAATATTAAACAAAATAAAAAGTATTTAGTATTAAAAATAAATAATAATGGAGTTATTGTGAGTCAGCTTAAGTCTGCAAATATGAAGGGGTGAGAAACGATATATTGATAATATAACCAAATTATTCTAATTATATTTAAAATACGGTTAAATTATTTTATAACTAAGACTTAAGAGTCAATATCTGTTAGACTGAACCTTGTCTAAAAAATTGTTTGCAGTACTTCGCAAAACATAAGAGAACTATTACAATTTAACAAAATTTAAAAAAGTATATAATTAATATATCATAATTATAATATATAATTAATTATATTTTTTTTTTTATAAAATTTGAATCAGTGTAAATTGGTTATTTTAATTATTATTTTTTATTTAAGAACATGTAGTCATGATGATTAATTATGCTGATAGAATGTAAATCATCGGAAAGACTATTAAAGTATGACATGAACATTGGATGTTTTTTTTATTGGTGATTTGGATACAACTGAAAATTAAAACTCCGTGACACTTGCGCATACAAGTTTTATGTAATGATTTTGGGTTTAGCTATTTATTTTTTCGATTTGTTGTCAATTTGAGTTCGTGTCCATCCCCAATCAAAACAATTTAATACGCGTTCTATTAATGTACCCGTTTTGCATGCACTCCTGCGTCCATCCTGTGTGACTAGAATGCGCATTATATGTATATTATACTTTTAATATTTATTTAATCGCCAAACGCAGTTCGTGTCTCGGGTCTAATGGATGGTCTTAAACTAATAAACTTTTCATCACGATTTTCGACAGCTGTGATACAACGAACAAAGACAAAATATTTTATTAAATATCGCAAACAATTATTATAATATTGTATCCGTCAATTTTTACATTAAATACTAAAATTAAATCGGATTTTGGAAATCATAAATTTAATTAAGTTAATATGCAAGCATGAGAAAAATTGTCCTTGTTCAAATTTATATTTACTATAGAGATTTCTGAATACCATATGCGGGATTAGCCTTTTTAGACCCGAGTCACAGGACTCTATAAGTTACATTAATATGTGTGTGTGTGTGTGTATAGTGAATTGATTTGTGGTATATTTATTGTTACTGTACTATTAAATGTATATATATTATATATGCAATATGTATATAGGTAAGTTTAGTTGCTGTTGTAGTTAGCATTCATACTGGCGCGCTGCATGGCACGTGTTACGTTCATTTGTTTTCGAGGCGGCTGATGCTGTTATTTGGGGACATACGTCAGACGGAGTATACTATTCTATTATAATATTATAAAATTAGTAAACATAATAAACCTATAAAATAAATTTGGTCAGAGTTCACATAGGTACGATAATATTATAATATTATGTATCAAGCCTTGCTAATTATGGAACAGGCAAAGTATCAACGTTTATGGCTAAGGCCGTTATTGTATAACGTTTCGCTGATTTTAAAAGTCTGACGAATACGCTAGTATAATATTATACAAGTAAACATCGCATAATAATAAGTTTGTTGCAGTGTCATCTCGGTGCACATGAAATGCTACTGATATCATCAAACAGAAATCTGAAATAAAAATTTAGGTGTGAAAACAAAAGTATTTCCATAAAATATTTTTAAAAACATTTAATGTAACTAGTAGAATATTTTTATACAACTGAAAATAAATAAAGTATCAAATAAAAAAGGTAGCTGTAAAAATTTAATGCTCAAATTAAAAAATGTTCATTAAAAATTTATTTGATTTTCTTGTAGAATTGTTTTTATATATAGATTGAAAATTAAAAAGGAACTTTGTATACAATTTTAAATTTTAGGTATGAAAAAAAAACTCTTACGAATTTTAACAAAATTAGTATATTATTTTTATACAAATGAAAATAAATAAAATATCAAATAAAAAGGCACCCGTAAAAATTTGATGCTTTTTATCTATTGGTTCACATTTTTAAACTACTTACGATTTAAATTACAAACTTTTGTGTGCGATAGAATAATAATAAAATTGTCTCCCTCCTATTTTGGTAGTTAATTTAATTTTTTTTTTAATCGAATATTAAAGCTTTCCATTGAAATCATAATAGGTTTACGAATCTTTTTTCACCTTAATAGTTCTCACGATATGTTGTGTAATGCTATAATATGTGTGTGTAATGTAGATGATTAAGTTTTGCGTATTTACGATTCGTGATTCAATCACAAAATGTTGAGACAGGAACATACGCGACGTCATTACCTTTAAAATATAGGTTTCTAATACGAATATTGTGACGGGTGTGATATCTGACCGATTGAATAATATAAATATTGTACCTATTGCGTGCAATTGTTCAATGTCTAACCGTCACAGAGGCCGTTGGTTTCGCTGCCAACGCCGTGGATCGCATGTTATCCGTTTTTGAGATACGCTGCAGTTGATACCTACTCAATTTTATTGGTTTTATTGGTAAATAATTTTTTACTTTGATAGTTTGGAACGCCCAAATCGTGTTTAAAGCACGCCAAACAGCTTGACTCTCGAGCGTGATAGTTAAACGTGAAAACGCGGTACTCATTGTTAAAATTGACGATAAACATTTTCACACTAATAATTTTCCCAAAAACTATTATGTCTACGTCGCGCATCGATGCAATATGCTTAATAATGAGTTTAAATTACGACTGTAATTTTTTCCGGTACAAAATATCGAACAGAGCGTCGTTAGTACACTCAACTTAATATTATATTGATAAATTGATAGAAATCAGTTAACGATTTGGATTTAACACAGCATGATATCAATTATTATTTTATACTGGTTGTCGATAACGATATGAAAATCTGGCTAACTAAAAGATACAGTAATAATGTGCATGCATCAAACAGCATTGGTATATAACAATAACGGATCTCGTCCTTTATCATTGGCGTATCAACTTTTTTTTTGAAGAGGCAGGGGCAAGAATTATTTCCATTAACAATGCATTTGGCCTAAAAATGTTTTCTATAGAATTTTCAACTATCAATCAAACAAAATAGTAAATTCTTGAGAATAAAATATTTCTATTAAAACTTTGTTACTTTGGTTAGAAAAATGTTTTAAAAACTAATTACTGATTAATTTGTATTTTGGATTCTAAGAAGAGGGATTAATGATATGCATTTTATTATTGTTATTATTTGTTTGAGTTTATAAATACCGGAAAGTCTATTAAAAATTCTTACTTTAAAGTAATAAACATTTTTTATGAGCGATTAAAATCCACATTTTGACGCCTTTGTTATATTAATACACGTATAATAATGATTTCTTTTCAAATCAAATTTTCAAAGTATTTAGACTAAATATTTATAATTATTTAAAATTTTTATATTTTGATGTTTTTTTTGTGTTGATCAAAATTTTAAAATTTTACCAAATATCAAAAAGCTTGACAATTTAATAAAATATTTCATTTAAGTTATTCGTGTATTCTTTAAAAAATATAGAAATATACATGGACAAATTTATTTTATAACCATTGTAAGTAAATATTTCGATAAAGTTTGTCTAAATAACAATTATTTTTTTTGTTAAAATCATTTAGTTTTAAATTTCAAACATTTAAAACTGTAAGTATTTATCATTAGATTCTTGACAAGTCTTTCTTAAATCAGCATAAAAGTAACAACAATAAATAATATAGGTACACAATTATTTTTATAGTTCTAATTTGATGAAATTTGATGTTTAAACGAAAAATAATGTTTTTAGTTTTTTAAATGTATGTAAGGACTAGAATTTTTTTACCACTACGTATTTTATTACACATTTACTATATACAATACAATTAAAAAAATATATATATATTAATTTTAAGCTAGACATTTAATATTTATATCACGTGACCTATTCAGTATTAACATCGCCCGTCAACTCTCGGTAATGACTTATTACTTATAATTTATAAGATAATAATTAATAGTAATATTTTATGTAATAATTTAACATAATATATATGTGCTTTGTTTTTCGATAAAAATTATTTTAACCAACTGTATTAAAAATAGGAAAATAAATAAATAATTAATTTCAATGTAAATGTATTAATAATTTTACATGATATAGGCACATGATGTTGTTTCGTATGTATGCTTACTTACTATAGTATGTCTATTTTTTATTACGAGTATAAGTTGTTATTGGTAAAAACACGGAAGACCTGCATAATAACTTTGTAATAACCTACAGGATTATAAATAATAAATTATTTTTATAATAATTTTCTTTTATTTATAAAAACGCTCATCTATTTATCTGTAAGATATACGTACTGTTTTATATTTGATTTTCATTGTGTTAGAAATCAGTATATAATTTACATATTGATGGGTCAATAATTCGATATAAGTGTGAAACTACTTTAAATTATATTTTAATCTTTTGAGACTCAAAGATTACAATAATTTTTTATTTATTACTAAGTTTCTTTGAATATTAAATATTAGTAAAAATATTCATTTACGCGCATACAATTATGAGTGAATAAGTTATTAAACGAAGTTTTCGTTCGTAATAACTATAATAAATATTATTGTACTTATTTTAATATAATCTAGTGGAACTAATTATCTAATTTTTGCATGAATTAGAGATCAAAAAGTAATATATTAGTAATATATTTAATCGTTATTCATTATCAATTATATTAGTATCTATAAAAGGCTAAACGCTCGAAATACTCGTATTCTATAATTTGTCTTTTTTAGAACTATTTAAGTGTTCATTTTATTATCGCTTTCAAGATTTTATTTTTTAAAAATAATGATAAGATAAAATTATAGTATAAGTAGACTTCATTAGATATAGCTAGGTAGTGTTGTTATGTGTAATATTAATTATTTGTTTAATGTGAGTGTGATTTTTGATTGCTTATTATAATTTTAACATTTTTATTTTTTGTTTTATAGTTATTTCCGTCGTTGGATATGTTTTGTGGGCCGTTCCGCGTACTTAGCCGGTGGCATGAACATTGTTATTAAGGGGGTTAAAGCTTCCCGAAGGGAGGCCCCCTTACTGGTCATAGCTCCTCATTCCACGTTCCTTGACTCCTGTATAAGTTATGTGACCGGTTTCCCTTCTATCATCGCGAGGATCGAGGACGCACTTAACCCTTGGGTCGGAAGTACGTGTCAACGCAATATAATTTATAATATATACAATTATTCCAAAATTATTCGTTTAAGACAACATTATAACTGTAAAAATAAAATAGATGCGAGAAAGACCTAGAATAATTGTTTTTTTAAGTGATAAAGTCAAAAGTGGTTAATATAAATTTTGTAAACTATATTATTTACACGTTACAAAGTATTTTATGACAAATACGACGACAATGCATGCGCATAATATATTACATTATAGTAGATAATAGATATATAGTATACATTCAAAATAGATTATTAATATTTGCTTGTGTGTATTATTTTAGATAATATACGTTTATATATAGTTATATAATATTGTACACTATGGTTATAGCGTAGTGTATATTATACTTTTAAACGCTTTAATACATGTAGACATTATTTTCACAAACGTAATAAGATATCTATTACAAAGTTGGATGAAAATAAATCTGCTTATATCAGCAATCTTGAATCTACGTAGTTAAGTTGAACTTATATTACTTTTTTATGGCCTTATAGGAGTAATAAACTTCACGCAGCCTGTGTACGTTCGGAGAGACGACCCAGAATCGAGACATAATACAATACAGGAGATAATTCGCCGTGTAAAATCTGACCAAGATTGGCCTCAGGTAAAATACTTTTCCAACGAAATAATATTATATATGTATATACGTATAAAAATATGAAATTAGTTTTGTTGGGGTATATACAAGTACAATATACATTGTATGACGTATACATTTCACGTATCTTCAATGAAATAATAGTCAATCGTCACAAATAGATTAATAAACATTCAAAATATTTTTTTAAAGTCTTTTACAATGTATGCTTAAAAAAAATATACTTGGCATTAAATACAGTTTTATTATTGTTAGATTGTTACGCGAAAAACAATTTTAACGCAATTTTTATTGATTTATGATAAATTTAGCTTTGAAAATTTTATAATAATATAGTATATATATTATGTATAGGTAATATTATGACGTATATGGTTTCTAATTTACCATTTATATAATATGTATGATTTATAAATTATTTATTATATAGGGGATTTAAAGACTATAATAATTTATTTTTTAATAAATTATGTTTAATAAATGTTTGAGTTTTTAATTGATATTATTTAATTAAAATTATGTGTTTGAATACAATTTAAATATAATTTATATGTAAGTAAATATAAACCAATAATCAATGGTTTGAATTGGTTTTCAGATCCTAATATTCCCGGAAGGCACTTGTACGAACCGATCGTGCCTGATAACGTTCAAGCCAGGCGCCTTTTATCCAGCAGTACCTGTTCAACCAGTACTGTTGAGGTATCCAAACAAACTGGACACCGTCACTTGGACATGGGACGGTCCTGGAGCGTAAGGAAGACATAATTTAACATACATACATAAGACTATCAAATCATCGTTTATTTGACATGCATGTTTATAATATAATGATGATAATATGTTACGGTATCATATTTAGATTGAAACTCTTGTGGTTGACTATGACACAGCCAACTACAACGGTAGAAGTGGAATTTTTACCGGTGTACGTGCCCAGTGAATACGAAAAGCAGAACCCAAAAGCGTTCGCCGAAGGCGTTCGTAACGTTATGGCCAAGTGTGTTATTCCATATAATAATATATAATGTTAATATTAAATTATATACATTACATCTTTAGTTAAAAAATTAAAACCATTTGGGATAGAGGGGTATAGTCTTTCGAAAATGTTTAAATATACAAAATATAACAAAAAAATATTTCGGAAAGTAATAAAATTATGTATAGACCAAAGTATTTTTGCCAAATTTGTAAGGGGAAACATATACCCCGGGAATATAATTTTCTTGAGTTAATAGTATCCTTAGTAAAAGTTTCTTACGAAATTGATAAGCACCCTTCAACTTATGTTTACCGATGGTATAAATATACTAGGAGAATAATTCTTTCATTAAAGTACGAATAATCAAGAAAATTTGTATATCCGGTATTTAATTTAGGCAAAAGCTTGTGCTAATGAAAAATATTGTGGTTCTAATCCGAGTGAAATGAGGAAATATTTATCATAAGTCCTTGTTACTTCTTTAAGATATAATATACGAATAAACTCAAACCCCCATTTCAAAAATTGAGTATTGGGTATTTTGCTAGTTGTTATACCTACGCGATAATTGTATTAAATTTGGTACAGACTATAATGTATTTTATATAATGTAATTAAAGTATTTCCATACGAATTTATTTTTGGAGTCGTCTCCACTAATTATTTTGTTTATATTGGTTCAGGGCATTGGCTGTTCCAACTGCAGACTACACGTATGATGACTGTAGAGTGGCCGTAAAAGCCGGTCAACTGGGTCTGCCAATGACTTCAAATTTAATCACCATCGAAAGACTTAGAAGTCGGCTAGGGTAAGAGTATATTATATTAGTGCAGATAGATGTTTGACAAAATATAACATAATTGTATATTACAAATAATATTATAGTAATATATATTATAATTATTATTATCTTAATGCTATATGTCGGCATGTCACACGATGATAAATCTTGCTTAAGCGTGAAACTATATACCTATTAATTTTATTAGTTATATTAAAAAGTTTCGTCTTAGTTTATGTAGTACCTTTTAATAATAATAACGTAATCTAGCACATTCCACAGCGATAGTTGCTGTCATGTTGTTAATAATAAAAAATTATCTTTACATCATCACGGTCGTATGATTATCCTTACGATGTCACTTGTCTATAGGTATTTGTTTTATTCGTTGTATTTCTAAAAAATGATACGAATTTGTTTACAGGTTGACGCGAATTAAGATTGAGGACTCGGCTCTGGTCAAAAACATGCTGTCGTTTCAGAATCGAGAGTCTCAACCGGTAGATTTGGCAGAGTTCGCAAGCAATTTAAACGTTACCGTTGAGGATGGTTCACTGGTCAACCTTTTTAAAATGCATCTAGAGGTAATTTATGTGACGGTCTATAATAGACACGATAAACTTATACTTATAAAAATATATATCTTCGAGCCAAATTGAATGAGTTTTACAATTTATTAGAGAATGGTTAATTCTAAATTTCAACGTTTATTTTGAAATCGATTATATTAACAATATAATACCATATGTAAGAATCTTATACCTCTCGATTCGTACAAATATAACAAATTAAATTTTATGATAAAATTATTATTATTATTATTGTTATTTTATTTTAATTTGTAAATTATAAATAAACAAATAATGATTTTTTTCATTAGTAGGTACCCAATTATTACAGTACAAGCTAATTGTAAACCATACTAAAAAAAAAAAAAACCAAAAAGTGATAATATTATATTAAAACGTTATAAAGATGTGACCATGCACTCATTAAATTATTTTTATAATTTACCTGATCATTGCCAATTATTTCGAAACATAATGAAGTTGATCAAAATAATAAGTAGGTATTAGCCATTTATATACTATTGGTTGTATAATTTAACTATAAAGGCTCTAAATAATAATGTATTTATATAGGTAGCTATTAATTTATCATGTTAATACATTTTTTATTTCTCATAACTCTATTAATTTTAGTAAGAAAGTGGAATAAGCTATGAAAATGTTGAGTCACTTGTTTTTGACCGTTTTTTTTTTCATGTAATATTATACAAAAACACCGTGTTTATTTATTTTTTTTTTTTAGAATGAACAGTTGTCGACCATAGATTTTAAAAAGTACTTGTTGGCTGAATATATCTTGCAGAAAGCCACCTCCAAAGATGATTTAATTATATTGGCTTTTAAGGTACCATTTTATGTTAATGTTACGAAAATATTATTTATGTAAGAATACAATTAAAATATAGAAGAGTGATTTTTGTTTGTGTTTAGCGTTAAATACAATTGTAACACACTGAAAGGGTATTAGATATGTGATTACATATGTGAAATAATATATTATACAATTTATTACATTTTATTTATAATTTGATATTAGATATGATTACATATGTGAAATAATATATTATACAATTTATTACATTTTATTTATAATTTG